ATCTGGTTAGATTCCCGTTAAATTTCAATTGAATCTTTAAACCACTGAACACATGTCTTCACTTATTCATTGACCAATCTGATTTTAAAAACATTGTATATTAATTAAATCTTCCCTTAAGAACATTTTTTCAAATATTAAGTTGGGTACTAACTATTTTTATTAGACTAGTGAAGGCCAATAAGAGAGTGTGAGGTTTGATTGATGAATAGATGAGGTTCTGAATGATGACTTTAAGATGGTTGAAAATAATTTCCATTGAAAAGAGTAAAATTCCACCTACAAAAGACATTTTAATGCCTAAGTCAATTTTTAGACAAGAGAATAGTATATTTGAGAACGAGTAATAAGGTGAAATTTAATCCCTAGCTGAGTGTTCTTATAGGACTCAACAGATAATAATAACCCAAAAAATAAAAATTAATATAAGATATTATACAAAAGAATAACATATCAAAGAGAATTAATAAGATAATGTCTAACAAGATGATTAAATAAATATTATGGTTTTAATAGATATCAGTCGGGCAAGTACACAAGTCCCTAAAGTTCGGAGGTCGAGTTCATTTAGGAAAAGAGGTCAAACGAGTCTAAGGTTAAGTTGACTATTTCATCATGTAGATGAGTAATGTTTAATTTGAATGTGTTTATCCTATAAATCATTATTTGATTAGATCAAGATATATTTATGAGATTTACTCAGTATAGTATATTTTTTTGTCATTCAAAGATAATGAGTTGACAACTTTAGGAAAATGACAAAGGAGCTTGGTAGGGCTCCCATCAGCCCTATGCTTAAGAAGATCGTCTTGTGAATACCAAATGACCTTGAGTGATACTTGGAAAGGAGACTTCCCCCTCCCCTAAGCCAAAACAAAACTTTGGTCAATATGGAAAATGATTTAAATTTGTCATGTGTACGTACTATAATTATGAATTTACAAATTGTCCCATTCATAGATTGTGCAGGTGTTAGTAAATTATGCAAATGTTTTGAGTAGAGTTTTTAAGATGCAACAAATTTTGATAACTTATACACCCGAAGAATGTATGTATACTTGTGTGATCTTGAGTAATGTAAATGCATGTTTTGATAACTCATATACCGGAGTAAGATATGTATAACTCATGTAATCCCTAATAAAGTAAATATAAGTTTTGATAACCCGTATAGTTGAGTAAAATATATGTAACTTGTGTAATCTTAAATAAGGTATGTATAATTCATGTAACTCCTAATAAGGTATAACTTTTATAACTCATGTGTCTCCGAGTAAGGAACAAGTTTTTATACTCGTGTGACCCCGAGTAAGGTACAACTTTTATACTTAATAACAACATTTTGATCGTATAAAATACTGATAAAAAATAATAAACAAGTTGATAAATAATGCAGTATAACTAACCCGTGTCCAATTTCACAAGGACACAATTATAGGAATGTACATATTACCATACATTATTTTCTCTAAAAGTAGTAAATAATAGAAAATATTAAAAAAAATTAAAATAAAATAAATTGATGCAAAATAATTAAAATTAAAATTGAATTGTAGTAGAATATTAATGACAATTAAAATTAAATTGAGGCATAATTAAAATGACTGAAATTTATAAAATTAAAATAAATTGTTTTTAATTAAAAGTGCAAAATAAAAATTATTTTAAAATAAAATAGTACAATATTTAGATTTAAAATTTCTTGAAGCGATAATCGTAAAACTAAATTGAGAATTGGAATTAGAAAAGAAATTAATTGAAAATGAAAATTAAGCGAGTACTAGAATAAAATAAAAATTCTAAATAATTAAATAACATAAATTAAAATGAACACTAAATTGAAAGCAATGAGGGGGAGATTGATAGCAATGTGAAACATGTTCTTACATTCTCAAGAGATGATTTTGATGATGATTCAAGTCAACAACATTCAAGACTCAAGCAAGCCCAAGATATGATTTTAATAAAGATGATGATTCAAACAAACCCAAGATGATTCCTGAATACTAAATAGAGTCTTAGAATACTGGATATGGAGGTACAAGTTGATGAAGTGGTATTATGCATAAGCCTCCAAAGCACAAGTGTGATAAAATTTCGTAATATGACATTTTTTACTGTTATAATCAATTATAATGCATCAGAAATGGAAACACGATTTTCTCTGTCATAATTGATTATACTGGTAAGGTTTTCGCTTTACATCGAATTAAACCACACGCTCCACCACTTGTGCGAGTCCCCCGTCAATTCTTTTGAGTTTCATTCTTGTGAACGTACTCCCCAGGCGGGATACTTAATGCGTTAGCTACAATGTTGCATGAGTCGATACGCATTACGCCTAGTATTCATCATTTACGACTAAGACTATTGTGGTATCTAATTCCATTCGTTATCCTAACTTTCGTCTTTTAGTGTCACTGTCGCCTCAGCATAGTGCTTTCGTCGTTAGTGTTCTTTCCGATTTCTATGCATTTCACCGCTCCACCAGAAATTCTCTTTACCCCTACCATACTCTAGCTTGGTAGTTTCAACCGCGTCTATAGTAGATATGAGGCCGAGACACTCTCGTTCGTATACAAAACAAATATTATTATTTTTTTATTTGACGAAAATAACAAATAAAAAACATTAACCTTTTTCATTTTAAGGAACATGTTTATATATATATATATATATATATATATATATATATATATAACTAAATAAAAAATGTTAAAAACAAAAGAAAAATATTATTATACCAAATTATCTTATTTTAATAAATGATTATTTATTTTATATATATAATTTTAATATATATATATATATATTTCATTTTAACAAAATATTATAAATATGAAAGTGATTATAAAAATTAAATGAATAATTTTATATATTTTTATTTATTTATAATATAATATTATGTTATTAAATTAATTTCAAATAATTTTATAATAAAAATATTTTATAATTATATGTCAAAATATATAATATTAAAGGAGATATATAATTTAAAAGTATTATTTTATTTCTAAAAAAATAACTAATAATTATTTGAATAATCTTTTAATTGAATAAATATTTTATTACTTATTAATTTTTTAAATAAATATTTTTCTTCTTTTTTATATGTTATTTTTTTCTTAAAAAGATTCACTTTATTCTTTTTCCTTTTTTTCTTATATTTTCTCTCGTTATTACTTGGTACATTTTTAATAAAAAAAATGGAAATTAAAAAAAATAGGTCTAGTTCTAGATAAAAAGGTTATACTTAATTATCAATTTATATTAATATTAAATCATAAAAAAATATTTTTATTTGATAAAGAGTGAGTTAATTTAATATAAAATATATCCTTTATATAATAACTCGCAAAAGGTAGGACACATGAGCTTATGTGTATTTAGTTAGTTAATATTTAATATTTATATTAATTTTAATTTATATATATATATATATATATATATATATATACATTAAGTTTGATTTTAAAAATTTATACGTTGAATTAATATTTTAATGAAATAAGTTATTTTAGTAATTACTAATTTATATTTTTATTAAATAATTAGTTATTTTATTTGATAAAAAAATTGAATAAATATTTCAAGTGATTTGGATTTTTAATAATTTACATTCCCATTAAATGATCAATTTTCTTTATAAAGGATAAAATGATGATACTAAAATAATAGACAATCTTATTTATATAATTGTATAAATTAAGGTAAACTTATACAAATTATTTTATACCTAAAACTTAACCAAAATGAGTTATAGTAGAACAATTTTTTACACTATATTTCAATAGTACATTATTATGTTTAGAAAAATTATTGGTTTTGAATTAATTATATTGAAATTAATTAGATGTTTATAGTGAAGAAAAGTATTTAGTTGTCCAAGTGCAGATAAATAGTGATTATTTTCGTAATAATTATTACAAAATTCATGTTTAAAATATCTATGGTTGATTTAGAGAATTTTCAAATAAGTGTGTTTTTAAGAATTATTTTTAATCTCTCATTGCTTTAAATTTGTAATTTTCAATATCTTTATTGTTAATTTGAATTTTAATATATTTTAAAAGTTTAATAATTAAAAGATCATATCATAATAAAATAAATTTATATATTAAATAGTAAATTATATCATTAAAATTTTCAATTGTATGATACTTTGTATGTTAAATAATATTCTGTTATAAATTTTAGTTATATAAACTAAATATTTATTATGTGCTACGCACAAATTAAAATATGTAGAAGTTTATACATTATCAATCAATTAAAAATATATTATTAAAATATTCTCCATAGAATTATAATATATGTCAATTTCTATTTACTTTTTATTTAAATTACTTAACAATGTCAAAATAGTACCCTGTGGCAAAATAACTCCTATGATTTTTTGGCTCTACCATTTCGATATTATGATTTTACAAAGAAAGATTAATTACATTGTTTTCTATTAAAACAAACCCAACAACAATGAACAGAGTTCTATAAAATAATATATGGTATCAAACAGAGTAACAATAGCATGAAAAAGGTACATAAATATGGAGAATGTAAAAGTTAAAATAATACCACACTAGTAGATAGTAAAAGTAGAGAACTGGATCACAAGAGACATGTGATGTGAGTGGAGGAAAAAAGAATGAGTTTCATTTATGGTATATAAAGTGAAAGTAAAAATAAAAATTGAATTTTTATAAAAAAAAGAAGAAGGAAAAGTACAGAATGTCTTAATGGGTAACTGAGAAAAAGCCAAAGCTTTTGTCAAGTGTTGTGACTTACTTAGAAGACTTGTGGTTCGGGATACTTCCATAGTTGCTTTTCTAGTCCTGTTCGGTGCAAAAAAAAAAAAAATTACAGTGAAAGTGTTAATTCTATAATTGAAAAAGAAATGGAGGTTAGAGTGGTGATGTGAGTGTGTTCCTTGGTGACAGTTGAAGTGGAAGAAAGAGAAAAAAACGAGAAAGAAGGGAAGAAAAGACGGCTAGAAACGCGGCATGGCGTCGTCGAAGGTTGTCTCGACGAATCCGGATCTGCCACGCGACTCTTCTATATCTCCCCTTTCCTCTCTTATTCTCTCCGATCTGCACCACCCCACCTCCATGGACGACCTCCTCAAGTCCATGACCCCCTCTGCCGCCAAGAGCGTGGACGACGTCTGGAAGGAGATCGTCGCCGGCGCCCACCCTCACCATCCCACCGCGGCCGCCGGAGACGACAATGGTGGTGCCACCGCCTCTGAGGGCTACGAGACCATTACCCTCGAGGATTTTCTCACCAAGGCCGGCGCAGTCAGAGAGGAAGACGTGAGAGGGGTTCTGCCCCCTTCTTCTTCCGCCTCCCTCCCCTTCCCCCTTCCTCTCCCCGCAGAAGGCTCCTCTTCCTCCATTGAACCCTTTGGAAACGGGGTTGCGCCCTCCAATTCGGTTCACAAGGGGAAGAGAAGGGTCGTCGATGAACCGGTAGACAAGGCTACCCTTCAGAAACAGAGGAGGATGATCAAGAATCGAGAATCAGCCGCAAGGTCCCGGGAACGCAAGCAGGTACTTAATCCTCTCACTTTCTTTGATGTGAGCGAAAAGAGGTACTTAATCCTCCCACTTTCTTTGATATGAGCGAAAGGGCTAATCTTTGGCAACGTGTATCCAAGATTGGGATCCTTGTTGGGAAAAGTGTTCACTTTTATTGAACAGAGATACTTGTGGGAAGCCTCTGGTTAATGTGGGTTTCTAATTTCGAGGTTTAAATTTAGGATTTTTGTTTTGGTTTGAATTTTGGGTGTTGTTGTGGAGCTGATTGTTAGGGTGTTCGGTTGCTTTGCAGGCTTACACATCGGAGCTCGAGTATCTGGTTCAGCAACTGGAGCTAGAGAATGCCCGGTTAATAAATGAAGAGGTGAGGGTTTGATGATTGTGTTAGCAATGGTCAAGGTCTTAAATTGAAGCTTGAAGAAACACTGTAGGGTCTTACTGGTAGTCAAAGGTTCTAAACTTCAATTTGCATTATCAGAAAAAAGAATGAGAATCAATGGTTGGTGAAGTGGTAGTTTTGTTATTTTGGTCTTTAGGGGACTCTTGTATTGCATGATTATTTTTGTTAGAGGCATAGATTGGTTTGGTTCAAACAGTGATTTGACTGATGAAAGTTCTGTATAGTTTGTTGCTGGTATTTGTCTGTTGAAAGTTTAAAACTTGCCTTGGTGGGTTAAGACAATTTTCGTTGTGAATTTGAGTGGCTACTTTTGTTGTAAACATTTTTCTCCTGGTTGAAGATTTTTCACATTTTGTGCCTGGAATCTGACTTGTTCTATTGGTTTTTGAAATCTTGGTTCTTGAATGCAGGCTGAGTTGAGAAGGCAGAGGAAAAAGCAGGTCTGTAATATATCTACTCTTTTTTAAACATGTTCTTTGTATTTTATCTTGTGATGACATGTCTTGAAGCCAAATTCTACTTATATTTTTCTTAGTAAATGTGGATTCAACTATAGGCAGAAGCTCTAACATGAGATAAATATTATAGTAAATTGTGTTATTAGCAACCTATACTCTCTCTTGGGATAAGTTCCCTCTGTAGTCATTCTTTCTTGCTGCTTAAACTTATTCTTGTCTTTATGAACTGAACACTTTAATACTAGTGACCCTGACTTTTATTATACAGAACATAAAATATTATGTGATCTTGATTGTCCCAACTACCATACTTGTTGAATTGTGCTACCTCACTTGGAATAGACTTTCATATATTCTTAACGTATACTTTATGCATACCCATTTAGTTGAACCTTCTGTTTATGATATTTGGGAGAATCTTTGTAGAACTTTTGGTGAAACTGTCATGTTTTCATTGCTTCAGTGCCTAGATTTTATGGTTTTGGTTGAATTAGGAAATTTCTAGTAGAATTTCTGTATATCATCACTTCTGATGAAATGGTCTCTTGTCATCATGTTTTTCCAGTTGGATAGGTCAATTGTTTCTCATCACAGAATCTACTTGAACAAATAGATCTATAATTTATGTAGCACACAATTTCAGTTACCAATCTTGTGATGCATATCAATCTAATCTCTATATCCTTTAATTTCATTTCCTGCAGCTCCTTGAGTACATCATTCCAGTTGAGGTGATGCCTAAACCCAGAAAAAAACTTCGGAGAGTAAATTCAACACAATCATTGTGATGTGTTTATCATAAAAAAACCGGGCTTTGTGGCTTGGTGTAGATATAAGGGAGAAAAGGTTTTAAGAGATTGCATGTCATTGCAGTTGCGGGTTCTCGTAGTTACATTGTATAGAAAAGATAGTTGGAACCAAATAATCCAAGAAATTTGATTCAACTTTGGTCCACTGTATGTGGAAGATCTGTTTGTGGAAGATCCATGTAGGAAAAGTTGAAATAAGAATTTGTGTTTATGAGAATTTATGCAATTTGGATGCCATGCTCAGTGGATGAAGTACAGCAGATGAGAGGATTGGATGAACTATGTTCAAAAGATCTCATATAAACTGCTAAAGATGAAAATATCGCCTTACTTCACATGATTATGAAGTTACTCTTTCAAAAGCAGTGATATTCTCATTTCACATAATTATGAGTTTAAATATTTCTTTAATAATAAATAATAAGATGATAATTTTTTTCTTATAAAACATTACATATCCCTTGACAAACAGCGCTGTAAACAATACTTTAACAGAAAACTCATCAAGTTGAACAATCTTATCTTTAAAAACCTTTAATTTTTATTTTAAAAAATATTTTTAAATAACAAATATACGCCCAAGGAAGGATGCGTGTATTCATAGCTTCTGAGTTTTTACTTTTAACATGAGATAGTCTCTGAAAGTTAAGAACATGAGGTTTAACTGTTTCGGTCTTGGGAAAGGGATGGTGGACCCAAAATCTTAATGCACATGGTGTTGTACCTTCAACCACCACTAGATGAAACATATTTTTTTGGTAGTAAAGTTTATACACTTTTTTCATAATATAGATTTAAATATCAAACATGAAATCTCATACATAGAAGACATAATTATCACACCACATTGGTAACTTGTCTACAGAGGTACACACTATAACTTATTAATTTTGTTTTTAATTATAATGGATTATAAATTGAAATTGAAATCCCTAGTTTCATAAAATGTTAAGTATTAATTCTTCCCAATGTCAAGATTCACTTAAAGAACATACATCTTCTATGAAATATTTTCGACCAACAAATAACACTCCTAATTTTATCACCAAAACAACTTAGTTCAACAACTTATGAAACTACTAGAACTAGTTTTTGCTTGCGATTAAAAAAAAAACGAGAAACTGAAAAAGTTTCTCTCACCTATTTTTTTATATAATTTATATATATATATAGCACTTCATAAATTAATTTTTTAAATACTTCGATACTTTATTTATTTAAAATATTATTGTCCACTTTTTTTAAAAGGTATATAAAATATTATTATATTAAAAAAGTTGGAAAATGAAAATAACAAATTTTTTCTCACCACCATTAAGGATGTAATTGGGCCGGGCCGTTTAAATCATGGAGAAATAGGGCGAAGAAGGCTTGTGAGTATATTAGGCCGAAAACAAACGCAGAAGGCGGCACTTGCAGAGGTGAGACCGAGAGGGAAACTGCGTCTCCGAACGGTACCGAAATCCAAACATGTCCTCCCTTCGAAACGCCATTCCCAGCCGTGCTCACAAAGAGCGTGCTCAACCGTAAGTCTCTTCTCTCTCCCAATCGGTATTCATTCAATTACCGTTTCAATCACCACTTCGCAACTTCATTTTATTGATTAGGTCGTCGAGGAAAAAATTCGGTCTGCTCGAAAAACACAAGGACTATGTCCAGCGTGCTAAAGCATTCCACAAGAAAGAGGAAACCTTACGGGTGCAATTTCACGCTCTCCTCATCAAATTCTCTTTCCTTCCGTTGACAACCATTTATATATTTATTTGTTTTTTTTTTTACAGAAACTTAGAGAAAAAGCAGCAAATAGAAACGAAGATGAGTTTTACTTCAAGATGGTTAGAACAAAAACCGTTGGTGGAGTTCACAGACCAGAGTAATTGACGACTTGCTATATGGCCTTTTCGATTTTCTGTAATTTCTTCTTGTTGTTGTTGTGTTTTATATTGTTGTGCTTTGGTGACTTGTCTAGGAGTGAAGCGAATAAGTACTCTCAGGAGGAGCTTATGCTGATGAAGACGCAGGATATGGGTTACATTCTTCAGAAGGTTCAGAGTGAGAGAAAGGTGGGATCTTTACTTTGAATTGCTCTCTTGTTTTTATCGGGTTTTGTTGGCGAAATATTGTGATAGTGTAGGTTTAATTGGGAATGTTTTGGTGTTCCTTGCAGAAAATTGAAAGGCTTACTGCATCGCTGCACTCTATTGATAATCAACCAGCAAACAAGCATGTTTTATTTGCTGAGGATAGGTATGGGTTTCTGATATCATTCTGTGATCAGTATGGATTCATTTTTTTGAATGTTGATTTTTTTTATTTGATTGCTTGTAAAAGTTCTTACTTATTTACTAATGCAATGATAAATTATGTTGAATATGACATAATGGCAATGATAAAATCGATTTAATGTGCAGTTTCAATTCAAGTTTTCAAATTTGTGCGTGCGTGCAACTGTTATATATATAGCATACATTTTGATAAGTAACTTAATGCAAAGGTATTTTCATAGAGGTCAGAGAAGAGAGAGGAAAAAATGATTTCATTATAGGTATTTATGAAGATTAAGGTAAAGAGTAAACTATTTTTAAATACTTTTCCTAACTGAATTGCTATGAAGATTAAGGAAAATAGTAAACTATTTTTAAATACTTTTCCTAACTGAATTGCTGACACAGCATGTTCAGTTGTGATTACACGATATCTGTTAATTTTATACTAGTCATACTATACCCTTATATTACTAAGTATTTATTCAAAAAAGCTTATCATGTGAGATTAATAAGTTTATTTTGATAAGTTTCACCTAAAGCTTATAATATAGCTTAATAGAGCTTATAAGATTATCACTAACCCCACATTTTTAATTTTCAACTTAGGTGTTTATATGATTAATGGTAACGTAAACTCGAATAAGCTTCATAGAAGTTTAAACAAATGGTTCCAAAGTCATGTTATAAGATATATTCTTTCAGTAGTAAACTCTTTTACTTTTTTCCACCTATATAGTGTCATTCTTGATATATTGATTGATATACTACTTTTCCACTTCTTCTCCCATTCCCTTTGGACTTTCTCTTTATATTATTATATGGTAGATATTATCCTCATTCCACTAATTTATTCTGAATGGCTAGCTTATTTAATCTGTGTCCATGTACAGGGAAGAGGCTAAAGAGTTACAATCACGATATTCAAAAAGTGAAATTCCACTTACTACTATTAATATTCCTGTTGGCATTAAGAGGTACATCCCTACATTTGGCTTTAAAGACTCTGATCAATTCCTTGTTCTGTTTGACATCTTGTATGAGATTTAACATCTTTTGTTAAATGATTTGTCTTGACTTTAAAGACTTCGATCAATTCAGTTCTTATGTTGTTTGGTGTAGTCTGTTAGATTAAAAAATATTGATAAGTCTCCACTGAAACTTTTTAAGGGATCTGTTGCATGATTTTTTTTTTTCTCTTTAATGTACTTTAAGGTTGCTAATTTAAGTATATATTTTTAATTGTATAGTTAATGGCAATAATATTAAGATGTTTTGCATTAATGTGGGGTCTGAGTCTTGGCAATCACCCTCTATTAAAAAATTAGGCATGAGGATTTGATAATGACTAATGTTTATATCTTTGTATGCCTCTTAATGTGGCCTTTTTTTGTCGAAAAGTGTAGTTATTTTTTTGGTTGAGATAATTTAATGCAAAATATAGAAATGAATAACAATTATAGTCAGATCGATTGCTATTAGTTCTCTCCAATTTTGCCATATGAAAGTGTTTGTGTCGTGTTTAATCTGTTGTAAATTGGCTCATGAAAGCCGTCCTTGTTTCATAATGTATTGCTATTTCATGTATGTAGTACCTACTGTTACTTCCACTTGTTTTCTCTGCTTTATTTCTAGCATCATATCATATTGACGATAAAGTACTTTTGTTATACAGGAAAACAGCTCGGTCTTATCGAGAGTTGGAAGCAAGGAAGAATAGACTCAGCCAACTAGAGAAAATCTACATGGATATGGCAATGAAGAAGGAGTTGCAGGTACTGATATTTTGCATTGCTTATTGTGTTCCTTTTTAAGCCTTACAAAGGTAGAATGCTCATAAAGCATATTCCATCTTATGAACAGAAAAAGGGTAGGAAACGCAAACTGACTGAAGATGAGATTGTCTGTCCAACTACTAAACCAGTATACAAGTGGCGTGCTGAAAGAAAGCGATGATAATACTGAGTTTTTTCTTTTTTTAGCACAATGATTAAATACTTCTGGGTTGGGTCCGGAGTTGGAAATTTTACATGTAGATGAAGCACCAACATTCGTAGCTGCAGAATCGAATGCCTTACATGAATCCATTAATTGGGATCACTACATAGCTGTCTTTCTTGATCATGTCTTTCATGTACCTTCGATGTTCTGCGACTAAATTTTGTAAGTCTTATAGATATATTAAATCTTCATGTTATTTATACGGTTGAACTGTTCCATGTACCTGTCCTTGGACCACATTTTTGTATCGGAAAGAGGAAAGAGAAAACGGATTAGATGTGGTCTATGTAAGAATCATAAGGCTAAGGAGGGGAACCATTCCTCAAAAGTTAGCTCAAAAGGTTGAAGAATCTCCCACCTTATAAGACTTACCTAGTAAGGATTTGTTACAATATCATCCTGTTCGAAAGTCAGCATCCTCGATGGCTGCACTCCCTGGTATTTCACTCATCGGTACTTCACTCGATCTTTTACTAGTCAGAACCCTCCGGTGGTCAGAACTCTTTGTGGGTAGTCCTTCTCGAGTTGGTTGGCTCTTAATGAAAGTACCAATGTAACAATCATAAGCCTAAGGAGGGGAATCATCCCTCAAAAGCTAGCTGAAGAGGTTGGAGAACCTCTAACTTTATAAGACCTCCTTGGTAAGGACTTGTTACAATAAATGTAACAAACATAAGGCTAAGAGGGGAACCATTTCTCAAAAGCTAGCTCAAGAGGTTGGAGAACTTCCCACATTATAAGGCTTCCTTGGTAAGGACTTGTTATAATATCATCCCGTTCGAAAGTCAGCATCATGATGGCTGCACTTCCTGGTACTTCACTTGGCCTTTTACTGATCAAAACTCACTTGTAGTCAGAACCTTTTGTAGACCTTCTCGAGTTGACTGACTCTTAATGAAAGTACCAATGTAATAATCATAAGGCTAAAGAGGGGAATCATCCCTCAAATACTATTTCAAAAAGTTGGAGAACCTCCCACCTTACAAAGGTCTCCGTGGTAAGGAGTTGTTAGAGCCTCTAAGCACACTACTACTATAAATATATTGAGATGAGTTAATAATTTTAGCTCATCAATTTTGAGATGAGTTAATAATTTTAGCTCATTAATTTTGGTCTGTTATTTCATCAACCTACGGGAATCACTTCTTTCTTCGTTACAAGCTTCTTTCTTTTCTTCTTTTTCTTTGATCATTATTTTTTTTATTTAACTTGTACATCTTACTTATTTTTTTTATTTAACTTGTACATCTTAAATATTGATTTAGTTACGTTTGTAAGATTTGAATTGAAAGAATGAGAATTACTTGAAGAACAATGGTAACTTTTATCCAATAAAAATTATAATGTAATTTTTTCTATTTTTGAATTTTTATATAGAAAATAAAGATTTTATAAGTTATGATATTATTTATTTATATATATTTATATAAATTTTATCTTTAATTGTTCTAAATTATAATTTTTTAATATAATATATTAATTTAAAATATATATTTTGAATTTATGATAAATTTTATATCATTAATTTACTAAAAAATTTATTAAAAAAAGATAAATAAATTAATTTAAAAGAAATACGAGAGTTAGTCAATCTGCAATCCATACTACCTCGATTTTGGTGAACAAGACTACCTCGATTTTGGTGAATAAGAGGTAAGGTGGGACAAAACGGTTATCGATTTTACTATCTCTATTACTAGAACAAATTATCTGAACATGGTCTTGGGACAAACTCAAATAAAATTTAAAATTTACAAGGATTGGGTTCCATTTGAGACTTGAAACAACTTACCCTATAAATGATTTTCCTTTAATATTTTTGTAATAGCATAAGTCTCCCATCTTAGTTTTATTTTTTTAGTTTTTAAAATTAGTTTCAAGGATTAATTTTAAATTTTGTTTAAATAAATTGGAAATAAAATTTTTTTGATAATTTTATTTTAACAATTATATTAGATAAAAAAAATAACACAGATGATAATGAAAAAATATGATAAAAATTGTAAAATAATTTTATAATAATGAATAAGTAATTTAATGTAATTATTGTTATAAATATTAATACTCACTTATTAATATAAATAGAACATTAAAACAGAAAATATATTTTATCAATTTTAATTTTAGGGTTTATATGATAATAATAACTACTTAAAATTTTAAATGTAATAGGTTACAATTTTCAAAAACACAAAAACGTTTTTCTTTTGTTCATGTGTTTCTCCTTTTTTTTTTCTTTTTTTTTTGTCATATTTTTTTTTTCTAATTAAAAAACCTTGATTGATATTTCTAAACTCCCACCTTGAGATATATTTATAGGTGATCAGTTAATTTTCTCATTCCTTCAACCATAATAATTTTCTCACGTTTACTTGCATAACTATAACTTGCAGATAATTTAAGAATACATTAATGGTAGTTTGAGGTTCGTGCATCCTTGATTTCCAGCCTTAGCATCTTGGTATTCAAGCTATACCTCTAGAAGCTAAACCAACCAAGCAATGCTTCGAGTTGGGTGGGTCTTTGATAAAAGAAAAAGCTAAAAAGGAAAAAGAGAAGATAGACTTTGATAAAAGAAAAAGCTAGTATTGAGTCATAATTATACTTTTTTTTCCAAAAGTCAAAATTTAATTATATATTATGGTAAAACTCTTTTCAACGCACCGCTTAAATCGCATCATTTCTAGAAGTGGTTACTTTATTTATATCAATACCCTAGCCTAAAAAAAATCTTTGTCCTCAAGGATTAAAATTGTGAATTTTTTTTTTCTTTAAATCATACATGTCGCGTCTTCTAGCAGCTGGTGTTTCTATTTTACAAGAACTTTGGTGAATGTCATTCTCTTCTCATCATTGTCATTCTGTCTAAAATAACTTATGATTCCTTCTATTGCAGCCTTCCTTTTGTTGATAAGGCAACTCTGTGGAAACTATTACCTCCCCACATGCTTCTTCAATTGTGATATATCAAATACATTGTGGATCTTTGAATTCACAAGAAGTTCTAGCTTATAAGCTACATCTCCTATCCTGTCCAAAATCTTATAGGATCCATAGTATTTGGGACTTAATTTGGCATTAGGTCTGGAGATTACTGAAATTTGTCTATAGACTTGTAGCTTCACGTAAACCAGGTCCCCAATTTCATACGCTCTATCAGATCTGTTTCTGTCAGCTACTTGCTTCATCCGTTCTTGTGCTCTCTTTAAATGAAATATAATTACCTTCAACATCTCTTCTCTTTTAGTGAGACTTTTGTCCACCAATTCTACACTAGATTCCCCAAGTAGATAAGGTAGATGAATATGAGGAACCTGACCGTAAACAATTTCATAAGGTGTAGCCTTAATAGTCGTGTGGTATGTTGTGTTATACCACCATTCTGTTAAGGGAAACCACTTCACCCATTTGTGGGGTGAATCATTACTCATATATCTCAAGTAGGTTTCCAAACACCTATTTACAACCTCCATTTGTCGGTCTGTTTGAGGGTGATAACTTGTGAACAACTGGACTTGCACCTCATGTACTGTCATAAATTTCTGCCAAAATTGGCTAACAAAGACCGAATCTCTGTCACTAGTTATAGTTTCAGAAAATCCATGTAATTTGAACACATGGTCTAGAAAAGATTGTGCAACATTCCTTGTTGAATACGGATGAGTTAGGGCCATAAAATGAGCTGCTTTACTAAGTCTATCCACCACTACCATAATCACATGTTTGCCTTCTAAATTTGTTAGTCCTTCAATGAAGTTCATGGTGATACGCTGCCAAATAGTTTGGGGAATGGGCAGAGGTTGTAGTAGCCCAGGACTGATAGTAGTGTTATACTTATTCTGCTGACAAATAGAGCAATGTTGGATAAAATGTTTAGTATCATTGTTTAATCCCTTCTAATAAATCACTGCCTTTACCCTTTTTAAAGTAGCATGAATTCCTGAATGACCTCCTTCAACTGACGAATGTAGCCACTGTAAAACTTTTTTTCTAAACATCATATCGTTTTCCACTACCAATTTCCCCTTCCTCTGCAGCTCATTGTTTCTCCATGTATAATGTTTGTGTGAATTAGCATTTCCCTCTAGCTCTTTTATCACCTTCTGCAAATTATTGTTGTATTTGATTCATCAAATCAGATTGTAATTGAAGTGTAATAATTTCCTTGCATTCAACTGTCTCCATTCTTGAGAAAGCATCACCTATTACATTGTCCACTCCTTTCTTGTATTCTATAGATAAATCAAATTTCATCAATTTCACCAACCATTTTTGCTGAAAATATGTAGTCCACCGTTGGTCTAGAATATATTTTAGGCCGTAATGATCTATTTTGATTATAAAATGCCTATTCAGTAAATAGTGCCGCCACTTTTGTACTACAAAAACTACTCCCAACAATTCCTTTTCATATGTTGAATAGGTTTGTTGTTGTTGATTAAAAGTTCAACTAATATAGGCAATAAGATGATTGTCATGCATTAAAACCGCCCCTATCCCCTGTCCTGAAGCATCCACTTCAACCAAGAACACTATTGAGAAATTAGGCAGTGTCAAAACTAGTGTGTTGCTCATCGACTTTTTTAGTGCTTCAAAGACTTCTTTGGCTTTGTCTATCCCAATAAATTTGTCTTTTTTCAACATCTCTGTCAATGGTTTAGCTATTACCCCATAGCCCGAACAAATCTCACGTAATAACCTATTAGGTCCAAAAACCCTCGCAAGTGTTTAAGAGTTTGGGGTAAAGGTCATTCCACTACTGCCTCCACCTTAGTCGGGTCTGTAGACACTCCTTCTTTATTAATAATATATATGGCTCAAATACTCCACTTGCTGCACCCCAAAATAACATTTAGTTTTTTTAGCAAATAGAGTGTTTAATATGAGAGTTAACAACATCTCCTTTAAATATTATAAATGGTCTGTCAAATTCTTACTATATATCAATATGTCATAAAAAAAATAGCAATAAAAACTTCCTCAAAAACTTGTGAAAAATAGTGTTCATTAAATCCTGAAATGTAGTCGGCGCATTAGTAAGACCAAACAGTATCACCAAATATTCATAGTGTCCCGCATGGGTTCTAAACGATGTTTTCCACACATCATCGGGGTTCATCCTAACTTGATTATACCCCGCACGCAAGTAAATCTTTGAAAAAATATTAGATCCTGCCAATTCATCCACCAAATTGTCTACTAAAGGAATGAGAATTGTTTTTTACCGTTCCTTTATTCAATTCTCTGTAGTCCACACAAAGTCTCTATGACCCATCATTCTTCCCTACAAGAACAGCTGGACTAGCATAAGGGTTGCAATTGTCCCGAATAACACGAAATTGTATGTATTCTTGTATGATTTTATCAATAACATCCTTCTGATTTTTAGCATACCTATAAGGTCTTTTGTTAACCAGATTAACTCCTTGCATGAGAGGAACATTATGATCATGTCTTGGTCTAGAGGGTGACAATTGTTGTGGTTCTCGAAATACATCTGCAAATTCTTATAACAAATTTTCAACTCCCACCAGTAAAGTTACCTGATCCGCATGTGTAGTCAATGAACATAGTAAATAGTCACCAAGATGCATCATAGACAAATGCACTCCTTCTGCAAAAGCCAACTGTTGTTTGATTGCAATTTTAACCTTGGTATTAGTGGATCCTGTTAGCCCCTGTCATCTTCCTTGCACTTGAAACTCCATTGTGAGTTTGTCAAAGTTTCACAAAATATCACCCAATTTGATGAGTCATTTAATTCCCAGCATCAGATCACAACATCCCAGAGGTAAAAGAAGCATATAAGCTCTAAAAGTAGTGTGTTGAATATTCCAAATGAAATTCTTTACCATTGTCGAGATCCTGATTTTGGAGCCATCTGCTACAACCATATTCAACGGATTAATATTTTCTACTGCACACCCATATTTTGCTACTACTTTAGTGTCCAGAAAATTGTGAGTGCTCCCAGTGTCGTTCAAAATGTCTAAGGGTTTTTTTGGTAATAACCCGTAATCTCATAGTTCTAAATCCTCCTATTCCTGTCAACGCATTGACTGAAATTTGTGGTTTTTGAGCAAGTAATTGGGCTCCTCCATCATCCGTAAACACCTCACTAGTATCCACCTCATCCTCTGCCTCTAATACATTAATTTGTAATTTCTTGTGGGTTAAACCATGTTCTGGAGAATAAGGCTCATCATAAAAATAACATAGTCCTTTAGCTCTTCTTTCCGACGTGTAAGTTAGTGTTAAGGTCATTTTGTGGTTTAGGTTTCGAGATTGCAGTAGACGTTGTCGTCGTGACTTATGCAGGTGATGGACCAGAAACCCAAACTCCCCTTTGAAACCTTGCAGAAACGTTGATTAAATTGGTCGATTCATACATTCGTGTTAATGTAAAGACACGTTGTACGGATATGGTTGGAACATCCTTACCATTGTTTGAAATTCTTTCTTTAGGTCACACAAAAAATAACTTAGTACATACTCCTCCGATAGATTCAATATGGTAATAATTGAATCAAATTCTTCATGATAGTCATCCACCGATCTCTTTTACCATAAACGCATCAACTCTATCATAGGATCGTCACATACATCGTCAAACCAATCACATTAGCGTTTCTTGAATTCAGTCCAAGAAAATATAAAAGAATCCAAACAAGATTTTGTCAAAGCATTATGTCACTGCAATACTTTGCCTTTTAAATGCACAATTGCTAATTTCATCCTGAAATCTTCTAGGGTATTATCAATGAGAAAATAATTTTCACATTAGTGTATCCATTGATTCACGTTTTTTTCATTCAATATAGGAAAATCAATACGTGTCATTCGAGTTCCGCACACATAATTTGGAGTTAAATGTGCACCCCGTGACATATTATCATTGTTCCAAAGAAACATTTAAGTCCATAAAACGAGCATCCATCTTTTGAGAACGGGTAGCGTTTGTCATGTGAGTTTCCCAAGAATGACCGACTGATTTCAATTGATAAAAGAAAAAACTAGAAGAAAAAAGAGAAGATGAAAAAATAGAAAGAACCTAATAGTGGGTTATCAGGCATTGAGAGAGGTAAAAATATTGAATCACAATTACAATTTTTTTATAAAAGCCAAAATCTAATTATATATTATGGTAAAACTCTTTCCAATGCACAGCTTAAACCACACCATTTCTAGAAGCGCTTAAACCACATCATTTCCAGAAACGATTACTTTATATATTTCAATCTTTTGTTGAACTACCTAAATGTGCTTAACCTAATTTTAAGTTCAAGATTGATTAACTTCACATGAGTGGTTTTTTACCAAATCACCTCATTCCTAACTGTATACATAAATCTAATTTGTGATTAACAAAGTAATTAAAAGTTGGAAATACTGAATTATGGTTCATGAAAACTGAATTTATAACATTTTCTTTCTTACCACTGTGTCCATCATTGAGTGTGATATTCTATCCAATATGAGTAGAAAGTTTGGAACTTAAATGTTAAACATAAATTTAATTGGTAATGAAAGATCTTCATTCGTTGGCTATACCATCAGTATCCATCGAATGTTTATAAAATGGTGGTACTAATATTAGAATAAGTAAATGATTTTTAGAACTTTTTATTACAAATAAAAATAATAAATTTGCATTAAGGTGGAATTGTTGGTTAAAACATTGAAAAAAAATACATGATTTTTGTGAATTTCCACTAATATAGAATTGATATTATGCATATAGTTTAAGTAAGAATAAATAATTTTGATATCTTTTGTAAACAAAGAAATGAAAATAATAATAATAATAATAATTAAAACTAATGTTAAATAATAAAAATAAAGTAATTAAGATTGATAATTTTTTTCTAAATTAGGATGAGAAAAACAATTGAAAGTAAAAAATATTGTAAAAGCTACGGCCCATGAAAATTCAATTTATAATGTTTTCTTAATAATTTATTTATAACAATAAATAATATATTTTGATGAAGTTGTAATGGTAAATTATGAGTCATGCAATATTATACATTACAGTAAATATTTTAATTTTCAACTATACAAAAAGAAATGGTTATCTACGTTTCAATTTAATTTATTAATATTTTAATATCTAAGAACCAATCACATATCCACCCTTGTTGGATAGTGATGCTTCAAAATTTTCCCAAATCTCAAACCCTATCAAACCTTAAATCCTCTCAAATCTCAAACACTTTGCAACACACATGTTACTCTTTCTCTCTTTATCAAGTCATGATCCAAGTCTCACTCTTATTCGGAAGTTGCAAACTAAGGTGCATATTATTTTAGCAATGAAATGGGTAAGTGCGATTCAGTTATGACTATTGAATTTCATCGGGTGTGCATTTTGATCATTGAATTTTGCAAGGGTAAAGTGTGACGAAGCTTATAATTAATTTTTTAGGGTAACAAAGGCATTATTCAGGAATTGTCCGAGTGGTAAAAGATAATAAGTTTTGTTATATTTTAGAATTTGTTTCCGTTACAATTTTCATCTAAGTTAAAAAAAAAATATATATATATATATATATATATATATATATATATATATGAATAATTTTTTTGTTTCAACTCCTAAACCATATTAATCTTAACTCCTAAAATTCATGGCAATCATGATTGTACCAAAACAAATTTGATAAAGAAAAATAATATTTTCACAACTTCAAAAATAAACTCTCAAAACAACCCACTTTTATTAATATAACAATAATAAAATTATTTAATAAAAATGAAAATAAATTAGAATTATTATTATTATAATATTAAAAGGGGGTTATTTTGTAAAATTGTATGTTTTGGGGTTATCAATATATCATTTCGGTTTGATAAAATATGATGATGTTGCTATCACTTCCGGTGTTTTATTCAGGTAACTATAATCAAGGTAGTTGATGATATATATAGGGTATGATTCATACATAACATGACAAGTAAAGTTTAACATAACAGTCACTTATTATTAGAAAACCATTTCCTAGAATGCTTCCAAGTGCTACTAAGCACGAAGCACAGTATATACGTTGTTCATGTTGGGCATTCCTTTGCTTCCACACCTTTCTCGTCTTCTTTGGCACCTTCTAAGCCTTGTTCTTTCTCCTCTTCTTTTGCACCTTCTATTCCTTGTACTTTCTCTTTGTCGTTAACTTGGATTTGGTACACTTCACACGTTCCCAACGGGCTCTCCACAACAACGTTTTTCATTGGCTCTAGTGCATGCTCCTCCTTTGTAGCAATTTTTGTTTTACCATTTCTGTAAATGGCATACAGCAGCATCTGAAGTAGTCCCAATGTCAAACCCAGCACATTTGGAATCTGCTCACACATACAAAAAACAAAGCAATGAAAATGGTTCGTCAATGAAATTGGTTTGATGTTTAACTATCACTAAATGTTTGTGCGTGCCTATACTTACAGCAATGCATATGTCCTTGAGGAAGAAGCCATAGGAAAACCACGCTATGGCACTCAGCGTGAGGGAAAGTGACAAGTTAAAGGGCATAAACTCCACATTCTTGGTTCGAATAACTTGTGCCTGCGTGCACGTAAAGAGTTCAATTTGTGAAGAGTGAGAGAAGCAAAGTTATGAAAATTAATCCACAAACGCGTTTGTATGCAATATAAAATATCATCATCGCAATCACAATTTAAAACCTTTAAGATTTGGAGGGGTGATGGGATTGAAGGGAGTGCGAGCATGAAATAACATTGAAAATGGTAAGAAGTTTTACTCACCACAATGCTTAGAGGTGCTGCAAAAACACCTACTGCAATACATACACAAACCCATCCAACTAATTGAACTCGGTGGGAACCATGCATAGTAAAGTAGGTGAAGAGGAAGATCAATGCGAAGGAACCCACGTTCATCACCACAAACAATTTAACGGTTAACTTCTGCAATAAAAACCAGTAAAGCAAATCAGTGTTAGTGAATTTGAAACCTTTGCAATTTTATAATTTCTGATGAATTCTGACAAAAGATGATGTGTTATTAACCTTTTTCATTTTAACAATTTGATTGGATAAAAATGAAGTTCTTTGGATAAGTGACAAGTGAACGTACCCTGGAATCATTGGTGGCATAGACTGTGAACATGGCAATGTAAACCATCTCAATGACACATCCCAATGAGTTAATGGTGATGAGGAGAGTCGCATCAGCTGGCTTGAGAGCGGCATAGTATAGCCAAAGCATGCAACTGAAAAGTGCCACCAGGTAAGGCAGTGATTGGAAACCTTCGGTGGATTTCCTTTTGTATATTCGGTAAAATGTGGGCCTACAAATTAGGAAAAGGAAAATATATTTACTATTATTCACATTAAAGAATAATATTAAAACTGATTGTATATTTTGATTGAAAGTTAGATGTTACAGTTTGTGTTCGGACACTTACAGGGGTGCCAAGTACACCATGAAGGAGATAACGTTACCTACACATCAGAAAGAGGATATGTTAAACTCTTGGCTTTTGCAGACATAATCAGGTTAATTAAAATTGATTATAGCAAATTAAGTAAAAGTCAAAACATATTGCATGAAGGAAAAAGGCAAGATAACATACAATTAACTATATTAGTGGCTATTCAGTGTTTAGAGAAGAAAGAAAAAAAAAGGCTGCTAGGATTTATCAGTGGGTGGAAATGAAACGAAAGAAGTTGTTCATATGAGTTAATTTAGTTAAGTGCAAAGGGAGGAGGGAAAAGATAAGTAAATTCAGAAGAAGACGAAATGTAGGGATAAAGATCATGAAGCAAGCATTAAATTGCTTGACAAACTTTCGTGTAATACTGGAATACTGGATCTGGAAATAATGGAGGAAAAACAAAAAAGGAAAATTAAAGCAATGAAAGAGAGCGATGATGACCGTATGAGTTTACCTAGTAGGCCGAAAGCTAAGGCCAAATGGTTGTGACTGTTCAGAATAGCCATGCCCTCTCTTTGCCTGCTTTACAAGGTTTAGGAGTTGCTGGGTGAAGAAACCTTAACTGGGTTTCTTGCAACTCAACCAACCCCTAAATCACATGAAGGCACTGAAGCTGGTGAAGGGTGAGCAACTCATGCATGCCTTAAATATACACAAAGGATACAAGAAAGGGGCATGAAAATGATGAATAAAGATAAAAAGACAAAAATCAAAGTACTATTTTTAACCGAAGAAGTGAATGAACCTGTACTTCATGCATGTTTCATGGAGGATGTGATTGATCTTTTTAGAAGGTAGCGTAGCACCAAACCATTTACCTTACCAAATTTAGGAGTGTTCACATGCAACCTGAATCATGATTTTGGTATATCCTACGAGATTGTAACTTTCACCGAGTGGAACTCATCTAATAAACACGGCACGAAAACTAAAGTTTCACATAATGTACTGTACCACACTTTCATTCTGCATTGTTTGTTTGTATTGGTTTCGTTGCCATGTGTTGGATACTGGTGCCATTCATCTTTGCACAAGAGACACGCATTTAGAAGTAGAAGAAAACGTGAGGGGGTGGTAACATTTACAGTTAATCATTTGATTAATAATTATATATTCTTCTGTAATTCTAAAACTCTGTGAAGATAATTTACGTTATGAGATGATTAAGATAAGGGGAAAGCATACGAAATACTAAATACGTGATGGATTACGTGAGAGATTTCCGAAAAAGCGATGTATCCGTTTCTCTCCAACACGCTTTGCCGCATAAGCTTCTTCAATTCAACAAACATATCTGTCATTTCCACGCCTCTATCTTCGTTCTTGCACACTGCTTTGCAATTCCATTGTTTATAAAACTGTTGTTCCCGTAACTCCCACATCGTTCTTAAATCCAATTAATTATATTTTAACTGTTCCAATAATAACAATAATAATATTTTATTTACAATTTTGATCTAAAAAAAAGAGTTAGCGATTGTTTTATCCTTTAGAAAATGGAAATCAAAGATGAAAATGCAGAATACCAGGACAAATGTGACTGTTTAGTTTGTTTATTTTTACAAGTAAGCTTCTATATGTTGATCATTGAGTATTCACTATTTATCATCGTTTTTGAAGTTGTCGATTAAAAGTTTTGTCTTGAACTCTTATGTACCTCCATATATACGCGTGTGGCTGATTCTACGTTAATTTCTTTCTAGATGCATTGATTATAACTGGTGAGAATTGTTAACTGTGTCCTTTGAATGCAATCTTAATCATAACACTTTTTAGAGCATCTATAAAGATATCACATCAATTATAATATGATCTATTACATTAGTTTTAGTAGTTTTTAAAATAGAATAACTTTGTATTATATACACTATGAAGGGTTTGACATTTAATATCAAATAACTAATTATGTAACTCCTAATTTTCATATATAGGATCATCCTAGTTTAAAGTAAATGTTGAATTCTTAAGTTCAGAATATAATAAGAGATAATGGAATTTCGATCATATTTTATTTATGTATTTTATATGCAAAGTAAAATTATAATAAAATATAAATTCTTTATTTCTTAAATCAAAATAATAATTTAATATATGTTTTCTTTCTTTAAATAAAATTTTAAAAATTTTAAAAATAATAAAAATCTTTTTAATAACTAATTTAAATACTTTTTAAACATTATTCTTATTTTAATATTTATTTATTTGAATTTTAAATTAATTTCTTCTTATTTTCTTTATTCTTTTTTATTTGTAACTCATATATATATATATATATATATATATATATATATATATATATATATATATATATATATATATATATATAACCACTTCTCCATTTTGACGTTTTTTAATAGTGTATTTTTTTTCTTATCAACATAGTCTTCTTATCTTATGCACTACATTTGACATATTTTGAAAAATTGTTCTTTATCCTTATCTTTATCTTTATTATCTCTTTGACATCTAATTTCTTAAAAAAAATTATACATTATTATGTTCTTCTTTTGATTTTTTTATCTTTATTCATTGTAAACTTTTCTTTCGTTAAATTTAAGATAACAAATTTTGATTAATCTCAAAAATATATCAAAAATTAATTTGATACTTAAATAACTTCTAATGGTAATTGTTTTTATATCTTCTCAATCATCAATTCTTTCTTTAGAAAAAATATATATGTTAAATTCTTTGAATTTTTTTTATTCATAAGTCATGTTATTTATATAATCATTATCTATAAGTCATTCATTCAAATATTTCTTAGTTGTAAATCATGTTTTTACAAAAAGATTTTCCTCTTCTACTTCAACCTCTCGTAATCTTAATAATTTATTTTTGACATTAAATTTGCATATCTTTTTTACATATGTTCTAATTGATCACATTTGAGATATTTCATATTTAACATCCATAACATTAGGTAATTATCTTTTTTACAGTAGGGATAAAGAGTAAAAATACATGTATTGTTATATATTTTCATTGTATTTATTACTTATGCAATTCTTACGTTAGAAAGCACAGTCACCAGTATGATATATAGTAAATCATTTTCAATAACATTTTGTCTTCACTGTTTTTGGAAGGCATCTAACACTTTTGTAAAAGTAATTTAGATATATTTCCAAGTAAGCAATCAATATTTTGTATCTCTCATATTATTTAAGGATGATAAAATGGGTTTGTTCTTCCACCTTTGACCCATTAAAGATAAGGTGGTATGAATAGATCCGCCAATGAGTTACAAACTCTAACCCGTCCTATCTAAAGGTAAATTGATTGACTAAGCGATCACCCTACCAATATTATATATATATATATATATATATATATATATATATATATTAAATTCATCCTTAATTATATTAGTATTTTTTAAGTTTGTATTTATTAATTAATTTTTTATTAAATAAATTTTAAAAAATCACTATATATATATATGTTGAAATACTCAACTATAATCAATAATTTGAGTTTAATTATTTAAATTATAATATTATAATACATTTTTATATTATAATATTATAATAGATGAGAGAAATAAAAAAAAACTAATAAATTAAAATTACCGATTCCATGGACAATAAGACAACTCATCATATCTATTTTATCATTACTAGAATTTTATCAGCTTGTCTAAAGTTAGAAAACTCCTAATTAACACTTTTATTTTATTATCAATATTAAATAACTTTTTTAAATATTATTTAATTGTTTCATACTTTAAATATTATTTAATTGTTTCATAATTTTTCGTTCTTTATGATTCAAATTCCCTTGTCAAGTATAACATTGTTATATATTAAATTTTCTTGCACTTTATCTTATTCTTTCAAATAATCTTTTATTATTTAAGAAATAACAACAAACAAATATTTAACTTTTACAAGTTTTTTTCTTCTGAATTTTAAATTGGATCATGATGAAATTTAGAGAATGTGATCAACAATTTCATCATCTTCCAAATGTCTTCTTTCGACAAAGTTTGAAGAATTTTGTCTATCATTTCATTAGTTAAGAATTAATTAAAGTACTGTTCACACGGTGTGTGATTAGTAAATATGAAGTCGGATTAGATGATGTATGATAATTTTTTTTAATGTTCTATCGTAACACAATTCATTAATGGTATGTTGACATTTTCATATGAAGTATACAAATTATAGTTTATATATATGAAAAAAACTATATAAAAAATAAGCTGTTCTCCAAATTATAATATGAATTCAAACCCTAGATAAATAAACACAAATGACAAGAATTTGAAAATGTATTTATCTTTCTTTTTAATTTATTTATTTAATATACTTATTTTTAAAATAAGTCATTTTCATTGTTAACTTTACAATTAATATCTTAAATAAATAAGTAGATGACACTTTTATGACTTATTTATATAATTTTTTATTATCAATTGAATGACATATCACAAAACCGAAGGACAAATACGCAATAAAAAAATTTATATGGACCAAAATTTACATATGCGAAACTATATAAATAAAAAAATAAAATTTAAATTTTCTCTTTTTCGAAGAAAGCATTACCTACTTATTAATAAGTGATTTTATTAATATATTGTTTATTTTAAAAGCACTTATTAGTATTAATCATTTGTATCAACTCACGTATAAAAAAGATATAAAATAATAAAGACAAGATTGATTTAGTTTTATTTTTCAATTTTTTAAAAAATTTAATTTTGAAAAAATATCTTTAAAAATAAGTTAAAAATAAAACCTTTTTTGATAATTTTAATTTAAAAAATAACTAAAAAGAAAAAGGAACAACAATAAAAAATTATGACAAAAATTTTTAAAAGTATTTTTAATAATTTCATTATAACAACACGAACAATAAAGTTCAAATATTTATGAATACATAAATATTATTAATAAAAATAAAATATATATTTTATCATTTTTTATTTTTTTTAGTTTCTAACAACTAAAAACAAAAGCAGTTTTTAATAAATATTTTAACAAAAAAGTTTATAAATAACTTAAAACACTGAAAACTGTTTTTAAAAATAAAATAAAAAGACAAATTTTAAATATAAGTTTGCCATAGTTTTCTTCTTCTCCTTCCGAACTATTTTGCCCCCAGTCATTTTGTTTTTCCTTTTTTACAATCTTCTTCTACTTATAGAAAAAACAAACAAATATAATTTTTAATTTCTCTTTTTCTCCAAAACACTTAATAATAATATAGATTTGAAACATATAAAGGATTAACATGGTCTTACTCCTATGTAACTTTTTTTTTTTTTTTAAGTATTAATAGTTATTACTTTGATAGAAAATATTAGCATTATTTTATATTTATAGAAAATTTAAATATACTGAATTCGATTTTTTAAAATTTGATTTTTTTAAAATGATTTATTTAGATAAGGTAATTAAAATTTATTGAAATTTTATTTTTCTTATTTGGATAAAGTATTTTAATTATTATCAAATATAAAATATTATTATTACTAGATTTGTTAATTAAGTTGAACTCATAACACTTAGCCCTTATCTATATTAGTCAAGTTTAACTATGACAAACTATAATATATTAGATCAAATTAAATTAGATTGTGACAGACCAGACATATAAGCTCGAGCCTAGTCAATATAAATTGTACTGGGTCGAGAATGTTGGGTCAAGTCGATTAGATTGATAAGTTGAGATGAGTTGTGTCATATTAGGATGAGTCAAATTAAGATAAGATTAATATAATCATGTTGAGTCGAGTTAAGTTAAGATGTATCAAGTTAGGTCATAATCAAATAGGACAAACCAAGATGAGGTAGGTCTGGTCAAGTCAAGACAAGATGTGTCAACTCAAAAGGGTTCAAATCAAGACGAATCAAGTCAGATTAATATGAATCAAATTCAGATTGGTTGGGTCGGAGTAGGTCATACTTACTTTCGATAGTTGGGTCTAACCCAATCAAGAAGGGTTGTATCAAGTTAAGATAGGTCAGGCCAGGATTGATTGGACCGGGTTGAGATGGATTGTGTTAGGATAATAAATGATGAACTAAATTAAGAGTAGTCGGGCCAAGATAATTCAAGTATAGTTAGAATATGTGTGATTGATTTGAACCAGGTCACTATTGGTCGGATCAAGTCAGGTTAGTCCATGTTTATTTGAGTTAAGTTGGGTCAATCCATGATGAAATGGGTTGAGATGAATAAAATATATCTTAATCAGAATTGGGTCACAAAGAAAATATGAAGAGAAAAGACATAAATTTGAGAAAAGAAAAATGATGGAAAATTTCAACTTCTTACTTTTTATGTGAAATTT